TAATACATATGACGTTGGTAATCTATTAACCAACGTCGTATGTATTATTTTTTTAAAAAAAATATGGACTTATTACGACGGTTATTACGTGATGGTAGCAGCGGATCGATTTCCGTTGAGTGGGTCTTTGGTGCGTGAGGAGCTTTGTCTCCAGGCGGTGTGTCGGGTGCGATGGTCTGAAATTAGGGATGGACTCGGGCCAACCGGCCTAGAACCGGACCGGCCCGTTATTGTGCGGGCCCGGACCGGCCCGGTGAACCGGTTAGTGCCCGGTTCGGGCCACCCGGCCCGGTGAGAAAGCGGTCCGGGCCCAGGCCTGCTATTTAGTGAACCGGTCCTCAACGGCCCGGTGAGAAAGCGGCGGGTCCGGGCCCGGTCCGGGCCTCAACGGTCATTTTAAAAAAAAATTGTTAAAGGCTATAATAGCCGTTGGGAGTGTTCCCAAACGGCTCTATAGTTGTTGGGAGCATAGGAGGGGGGGGGGGGGTTAGGGGGTGGGGTCGGGGTGGGGTGGGGGGGTGGGGGTGGGGTATACAAAAAAAACCTATTTATACTCCTATTTTCTATACATTTCTTACACCTCTTCTTCTACAACTCTTCCTGCTCTCTAATTCTCTATTCTCTCAATCTCTTATATTCAATCATCTTCATTCTTCATCTTCAAATTCTTTCTACATATATATAATTTATATAATTATTATATCTACTTATATATTAATTATCTACTTATAAATATATACTTACACACATTCATATTATAATTCTTTACACATTATATATACTATATATAGTTATACACATTCATATTTACTTTATATTTAGTTATTATCCATACTATTGTTATTTACTTATATTTACATATTACATTTAGTTAATATATACTTATATATATATATATATATTAAAGTATTGAGTATAAGTGTATTACTCATCTTATAGTAATATACTTATACTTATATATTATATACTATAAACATTATATTATATATTACTTATAATATATTTACACATTATATATACTATATATACTTATACACATTCATATTTATTTGATATTTAGTTTTTATCCATACTATTGTTATTTACTTATATTTACATATTACATTTAGTTAATATATAATTATATATATATATTAAAGTATTAAGTGTAAGTGTATTACTCATCTTATAGTAACGGAAAAGATCCTGTCCAGCCGGAGGGACAGGATCCTCCGTCCAGCCGCCGCCGTTTAGGGCGGTTTCCGGTGGATTTTTTTTATGAAATTTTTATGGAATGTTCCTCATCAAGTCTAGTTTACCAAAAAAAAAAATCAGCTAAAAATTCGATCGGGAAGGCAGTCAAATAATTTTTTGAAACATAAATGCGTTTTATATGTTTAAGTTGGAGCAGTTATCTTCAAAAAATTATTTGACTGTCTTCCCTATCGAATTTTTAGCTGAAATGTTTTGTGGATAAACTAGACTTGATGAGGAACATTTCATAAAAATTTCATCAAAAAACTCCACCGGGAACCGCCTCAAACGGCGGCGGCCGGACGGAAGATCCTGTCCCTCCGATTGGACAGGATCATTCCTCCTTATAGTAATATACTTATATATTATATACTATAAACATTATATTATATATTACTTATACTCCCTCCGTCCCAATTTGTTTTGCAAAGTCAACATTTTTTGGTCAACCAATATTAAAAGTCAATGCTCTTTAGTGATAATTAATTCAATTTTTAATAATTAAAATTTACATATTCAGAAACTACATTAAAATCTCTTCAAAGTTGCAAACTTCAAATTAAAATATAATTAAAAATAAACATCCTAATTAAGAGAATAAAATGAAATTGTTTGACCAAGAAAAGTCAAATTTGCAAATCAATTCGGGACGGAGGTAGTAATACATTTATAAGTTATATACACTATATAGACTTATACACATTCATACATTTTATAAAAGTAGTTAATCGTTAGACTTCTCATTTATCTATTAAATTAGTTAAGTGTTACATTTCTCTACATTTCTCTTTAAAGAAAAAAAATAGTTACTTGTTACATATTGCAAGTATGTAGGGATTAAAAAAATAGTTAACATATTACATATTGTTAAAAATAGTAACATATTACTTGTTACTTGATGGACTCATATATTTTCAACAAGGGATTGAGGAATTTGGGGATACAAATTATCCCGGCCCAAATGAATAGGGCGGCTAGGGAGGTAGCCAAGTTGGGCCTTCATCAGCCTTTTTCGTGACGGTTTGGAAATGCTATACCCAAAGAGCTAGGTGGTTCCATTATGCTGGATGCACTTGATGTACCTTATGTTATTTGCCGAGTTTTTTATACTTAGCTCCTTTGGGAGAGGTTCGGTTTGGTCCCCTCTCCTTTTTGTATGCTCTCATTGTTTTTAATAATACTCTGGCAGCTGACCCCCCGACATCTGCCCCACTGATTTTGGTGGTTTGCCTTCCGGGGTAAAAAAAAGAAAAAAAAATTACGACGGTTATTGAAAGAAACAGACGTAATACATATCTATCAAAATTACTTTTGACGTCAGTTTTCTGTGAGAACCGACGTTAAAGATTTTTTTTGCCCTCGAAAAATGCAGTTTTCACGTAGGTTCTGAGTAATAACCGACGCGGCAGGGTTATTTTTTCTTCGAAAATACACTTTTCACGTCGGTTTTAAAACCGACGTAAAAAGTTCATACCTATAACGTCTCTCACTTACACGTCATATACAAAACCGACGTGAAAAGGTAAAAATAACCGACGTGAAAAGCTCATTCTCTAGTAGTGTGCCCAACGTTCTGGTCATTTATGTCCAACGTTCAGGTCCATTAAATCTCAGTTAACACACAACAAATTTATCCACATATATAGCTGGCAGGTGATTTGCAACAACACAAGAAACTGAAATCATTTTGCACGTATTTCTTCACCTAAAAACAAGTCCAACTACAAATAGCTCTCTCAAATGGAGTAGTGTTCAATTGAGAATTTTTTCCAGTTCGAAGACAAAGGAGAAACTAAAGGTAAAAGATTTTTCCGGCGAAGACAAAGTAGGACAAACCAACAAACTAAACACTTCTACAAAACCCATTTATAAACGAGGAAGAACAAAACAGTGAGGTCACACAGTATGGTGAAGAACCCCATTTGCAGACTTCATTTGTAGTTTATGTTGTACTGTGAAAACGAAGGACAAAAGAAGACTCCATTCGCACAATATATTTTCAGGAATAGTTTTGCGGCTTGTGCCTAAGAACCTCGAGGTTCAGGTCCGCAGCTAATGATACTTCACGATGTTTTATTTTCAACGACCTTTACTTTTGCTTTTTATGGAATAGCTTAGGAGGAAAATGGTAAAATGGTGAAACTAATATCAACTTCTATCATTTCTTAATTCCATGACCGGTCAACTTTTGCAATTCAATTCGCGATGAAGGGAGTAGTAATTTGATGGAGAGAAGAAAAGAATCGAAAAAAGTAAAAAAGTAGAATAAAGAGAAAGAAACATGGAGGTGTTGATTGACAAGGGAGAAAAGGTTCATAGTGCTCCCAAAATAAAGAAACGGTACTGTAGTATATTGGTACCGGTATACCATGCTATACGGATGTTGGATTATACTGGTATACCATGGTACGGTATACTGGTACCACGGTATAATTTGCGGTTGTCTTCAGTCTATTATAAGGATGTTGGATTATTTCTTGTTGAAGCATTTGTCCCACACCGGAAAGCTATAAAACAATTAAACACTATATAAGGCTTTGAGCTACTCCTCCTATCAGATTGACCTTTTAGGATGGAACCCCGGGTCTTAACATTTCTGTCTCCGACTCAGGTCTTCAACCTCTAGGCTCAACTCTCACACACCACATAGACTAGACCACTCCACCTCTCACTATATCCACTTCTCTCATCTATCCACTCCAACTCTCATATCTCGTTGTATTCTTACGAGGCTTGTCACATAAAGAAGAAGAGGGCTCAATGATATCATAGACTGCATGCCTATTAGGCACTCACGGGTGAGGCAAAGACATTTACGGGTAAGGCAAAGACAAGAATAGACTACAGCGGACAACAAGCAAATGGGGGCTCACTCCATGTAACTATGTAAGTCAACATGCATATCATTGGATAGGAGGGATTTAAACAAGGGTACCAAAGTGGAGTAAATATAGGGTGAAAGTCTAAAATAAAATGGAAGAAATGCCTTGATAGGACCAATATACCTCCAACATTCTCCACCTTATTGGTCCTAAGTGGTGTAGAATAACCATACAAGGTTGTTAGGAGACTCAACATCGCTTGTTCACCCAGAAAATCAAAAGATAAAACTTAATGGGCAAACAATTTACTAAACAAACCACAATTATCCACAATCAAAGTTTAAAACGCGTTTACAGGACAAATGTTTCTCGACAAAAAGACACTTGGTACCCATATTCGCGGTATTAAACTCGGATGGTATCTTGCACAGCTTGATTGCACCTGCATCCACAATATCACGAATATCATGGAACCTAACATCAATATGTTTGGTCCTATCATGAAATACGGGGTTTCGCAAAGTTGGATAGTCGAGAAAACAATAACTCCATGTTTGAGAAACTCAATCTCGGAGACAAGACGTTTTAGCCAAATAGCTTCCTTAAACGTAACGCTTCTATGGCTGCAACATACTCCGATTACATGATAGATAATGCAACAATGGGTTGTGATTGAGATTTCCAACTAATGCGAGAACCACACGAAGTAAACACATAGAAAGTAGTAGTGAACATTCTTGTATTTTATTAGTTCCGTTCAGAATGGAGTGAATAATAGACCTTATTTAAAACATAAAAACTAGATAAAGACATTATATATAAAATTATTACAATGCAGTAAAGGCGAAATGAAAATAGTTCCAAACCCAATGCTAGTAATTTTAACGTATCAACTATAACGTAACATTTCTTGTATTTTATTATCTCTGTATGTAACAATTGCTGATCGATCTCAAAATAGGCTTAAAGACGTAAGGGAATGGGATTGAGCTACGTACATGATCAAAGGTTGTTCAATATAATGAATCCCATAGGAAAGAAACCAATATTTTCTCTGTCACAGTAAAAAAACATTCCTTTGTGCTTAACTTATATCCCTTCTCGATATTGATGGGCTGCATTTTCAGTATATAAATGGAATATATGGTCAGTAGAGAAAAAAGTTGGTACAGTTAAAGCCGCAGTTTCAACGCGGATTTGTTAAATTGAGCTGCTTTAAATTCATCACTCTGGATTTGAACTTCGTTGAATTTCCTCCATTTTCTTCCCCAATAGGAAAGAAACCAATCCGGTTATGATTAGCACCATCCCAATCAAGCTGCAATGACATATGTTTATCAACATGTAATACTATTAAGAGTTAGGATTACATCTTAAAATGTTTTTCTTTTATGATGAAACACTAACATTTTACTATAAAATCATATCAAAACAATTAAGTCCGTGATTTGACTTTTTAACTTCTTTGGAACATGTTAGTGTACTAATGTACTCATCACATCCGTTTAGAATCGCTTTGGCATATTTATCTCCCGATTTGATTAGAAAAGACGCATTAGGGCATCCTCATTGGTATGAATATTCTAAGATTAAATTGGTGACATGACAGTTTTTTTAGAGGATTAAATTGGTGACATGACACAGATTATTTAATGAGATTATTTGCTACAATAATCTGGGATCAAAATATGAATGCAGATTATTTTAAGATTATTTGAAAAGTATATGTAATAGAGATTAATGCAGGACAAAGAAAAAGCAGATTATTTGAAGATGATGATTGAGAGACATAAACGAATTTTGAGACTGCAAGAGGAGGAGCGATTATCAAACGACCTAGCGGGGAGATGGTGTCAGCCATAAGCTTTCAGGTGGAGGCTGTTTCCTCGGAAGATGTTGAGCTTGGGGTGTTGATGTATGCAATACGATGGGTGGCTGGTGAAGGCTTTGTTGGGATTCAGGTGGAATCGGATTGTGTTCAGGCCATTAAGCTTTTGAGTCAAGATGCTACACGAACAAGCCCGGCTCCCTCCCCTATCGGGCTAGGCGGGCATATTATATGGACCTATTTGGTATCCCAGCTCTTAGATTATAGTTTTTTATCTGTTTGGATTTTTTGCTTTGGGAGGTTTTGGTTTGATCCCCTCTCTTTTTGTAATTCTCTCATATCCGTATACAATAACGGCAATTGTCCCTCGGCAATTGCCTCACTGATTTTGATTGTTTGCCTTCCGTGATAAAAAACGAATTTTGAGATTATTTTAAAATTAATTACATAATAATATTTAAATGGTAATAATCATAGAAAAAAAGATTATAATATGACTTTCACGCCGTCAATGTACGGAGTATAAGATAGTAAATCAATATATAAGATGGCAAATTACTTCTCGATCAAATCGGAATAAATGCTCTGTCTTAAACTTTCTAGTTTCTACCCATTTTTATTTGACATGATTTACTAAGAAAACGTAAATGAATTGTATGTTTGTAGCTGATATAAAAGAAATTAGAGATATAATATCAACCACACAAATCATTTCTCAATTGAAATGTTGGAATTCCCACCTGATAAGGAAATGGGACGAAGATTTTCATGAGGTTGTGTATGAAATAGTCCAAGCAGATTTGGTATTTTTTGGCACCCTTTTTAACTGCTTGTGTTATTTTTCTTATTAGTGTCTCGCCGGCCCTAGCACCGTGTATTTGGTAACGAAATACGGAGCACTTTAGTTTTATTTCTAGTGTGCCATTAAAACCTATACTCAAATTTGAAAACATGAGTAATATGTTTCACTTAGTTTATTACTCAACTATAAATGTCCAAGTTCTAGAGAGAGAGAACAAAAGAGTAAGTAGATGCAGAGTTATGGCATGAATGAAAAATGTAGGAAAAAAGAGTACCATATTTGTAAGAACAAAAAATATATTTTGACTTATAATAAATCATGCATATATCAAAATAAAAGAGATTTTTTATGAAATATTACTTAAATAAGACTTGTGGATAAAAATGTGATTAAAGTGACTATGAAAACATTTTTATATTTAATTTGATGTAAAATGTGAACTAGTGATAGTGACTAAGAGTTACTAAGTTACATTTATATCTACAATCATTATTTTTATCATATATTAGGAATTGTTAGTTTCTCGATTAAAAAAATAGCTATTATTAAAAAGAAAGGATGACACCCCATCCTTGAGGGCCCCCCAACACCGACCGGACGACACGATGGGAGGATGTAAATTGGACTATAATCACAATCTGACAGATAGAGAGTGAGTCTCCATCCCCGATACTTGCAGAGGCCCTCTATTGAGTAACCTCTCATCGCAGTTGTCGGGAGTCGAACCCGGGACCGAACCCTTGTGGCACTCCCTCACTACCAGTTGAGCTACACCCACCGGTTAAAACATAGCTATTATTTATGAAACTTGGAGTGTATTCACATAAAAATAAGCCTAAAAACAAACTAAAGTAACTCAATATATATCTTATTACTCGTTTGTTAAATTTCTGCCACAATTAGGATGTTTTCTACTTGGACTGGAATTTTCTGCTCTGCTAGGATCTGAACTGGTTTGGTCTGGTCTGGTATATGTTTAGTCTCTGTGTATTTTATAATTGTTCAAGGTCTGGTCTGGTCTGGTCTGGGACCAAAAGCAGTCCAAGTAAAAGCATTGTTAGTTGTTAATCCTATACCCCATATACCTATCACGGCCAACGTCCTCTACTTAATTACTATGAAATAGGTACTCCGTATGTTATTGGATCTCTTTCCGGACGGATCAGACTATGACTCAAATTTTCATCCTATAAGTTTGTTTAATAGAACTTAAACCACTACATCTTATTGTATTGTATTGTATTGTATTGTATTGTATTGTATTGTATTGTATTGTATTGTATTGTATTGTATTGTATTGTATTGTATTGTATTGTATTGTATTGTATTGTATTGTATTGTATTGTATTGTATTGTATTGTATTGTATTGTATTGTATTGTATTGTATTGTATTGTATTGTATTGTATTATAGGTGTGATTTTCTCATTACTCGAATAAAGTTTATGAAAAAAATCTAAATTATTATGTGCACAATTTCATGATCACTACAATGTAAAATAGAACATAATCAGATCGCTAGAAATTAATATTATAGTCAGATTATGTAAAAGGTCACATTTGTGTCCATCATTTTTATTTTATTCATAAATATGTCATCATTTCCTAATATATAGTTCTTTTTTTAACCCGGAAGGTAATTATATACTCGTATATATGTATAGTTGATATAGAGGAAATTATTCAACAAAGATATAAATTAAAGTAATTGAAACTAAAATTGGCATTTGATAATTTAACCTTCCGAGGTAGATAGGTGCACCGAAGAAAAAAGCTTCTATGATGGCTACCACTATTAAGGACAATGGATTGAACATGAGCGGGTAAGTTGGTCCCTTTCTAGTCGCTGCCCATATAATTAAGCAAAATGTTGCTGCTGTAGCCAATACACCCTGAAAAGGGGATTCATACAAATTGATCTTTAGCATCCCTCAAATATAATGATAGACAAAAGCCCCGTAGGAAATTACCGTAAATAGAAAAAAGTGTGATATAATATCCTAATAAATAAGAATGCTTAGTTTTTCTTTTAAATACGAGTAATTACACATATCCTTGAAAAATGCAATTAGTTCTCACATAAATATGGTCATATAATGTCAAGCAAAGCAGTTATTATAGAGTCGCATGCTTAAAAGTATGACAATATGATTTTAGAATGGCAGTTGTTATTTTTAAATTTATACTTAAAAGAAAAAAATTCTATTTTGGCAGGGAAATGCATAGTATTTCTAGTCTGTGGTTTCAAATTATTTTTACTCCTATAATGGTAAATTTCCCAAGCTGCAAAAGAATAAGAAAATATTCACTTACAGAATAAAAAATAGTAATAAGTTGCAAATTCAATCCCAATTTCCACGAGGCCGTTCTTCTATCAATGTACAAGCCTATTAGCATACATTGAAGTGTTGCCATTATGCATGATATTGTGGTTGCAGAATATTTGTATGGGAACCTCTCCTCCTTTAGCAACCAGGCCTTTGCAACAGAAATATTATAAACAAAGTTGATTACACTTGCAACATCAATGATAGGTATATATATGGAGTTGTTTTTCTGGACTAGAATGTTTGTATACATTGAGATATTGCCAAGTGTGATTAAATTAGAAAATAGATGTCCCTTAGAGGTAAATAATAAACTGAATTAAGTAACTAAATAATCAATTTCAAACTACTATGTTATTAACATGTGTTTATTCCATCACGAATGATTAGAGAAAATGAGAAAATAGGGTGTCTTGATTTGATTAATTAACATGTCAGAACTCAAAAAACAAATCATTCACTCGGTAGACGAAAAGAACTTTAATTTCAAATTTCAATGACGGTAGACAAACTTATTAAAGTGTGATAAATCCACAAACTCTTTCTTCATACATAAACGATCCTAATTGATCTTAAATAGAACGAGATCAATGTATAGTTGATAATTGTTTTATATAAATTATAAACGTACGGTTTGTGCCAATGTAATATGTTTACTGCATGTATATTTCTTTTATTTTTGTAGAATTCGAATTGGCACTAATGTCTTTAAAACTAGTTTACTCATATTAGTCAAAAAGATTTTACTAGCAAAGCTACATATATATAGTAAGAATACAAATAAACAAATACCATATTTGATAATTATACATTCAATCAGCTACATTCAATTAGCCACTTCAGTCCAAATATTATCAAATACTTTCACTTTAGCAATTTCAATCATTTCACCCGTTGCAGCCATTACCAAACAGGTCCTTAGTTTTTAGTTTGCGGTAAGTTATCTTCTGATATGTTGTTTTCTTTTAGACTTTTAGTTAATTAAGTTTCAGGTTTTGAAGTTTTGGAAGTTTAATAATCTTTAACTAGTTACTAATCTAAGTTGTTTTACTTGCTTAAATAATTCATTTAAATAAAAAGATTGATATTTTATACTCCGTACAATATATATTATAATATGTATGTGCTTAATCTTCTAACTTATACAAAGTACGGAGTTACGGACAATTAACTAGAAAGCAATCCACTATATTCAATTCATATTGGGATTAAAAAAATTAACTAACTTCGCAGGCCATCTCTCTCGGGCTTGACCACCGCTAGGGTTTTGATTGTCTGCTATCGTTCTTGCGACGAGGAGCAGTGCCGGTAAATCGGCCTTGGATTTTGTTGATTTGGACGCTTTTCTAATAAGAAGTGTCGGACTTTGTTCAGACGAGGAAGTCGTGCAGGTCTCGTTCGTTTACTCTAGGCTACGGAAGCAGGGCGTTAGGGCGGAGGAGAAGGTGAGGCTGGTTATCAATACATTGGTTCTAGAGCGGGCCGACGCTGAGGCTCCACGTTTGTGGATGGAAAAAATAGTCGATTATACCGGAAGATGAACATGGATGAGGAGGCAGTGGAACTGGATCTCGATGAGGCCGACACCGAAGAAAGTCCAGGGGATGAGACTCGGCCGGGATATCCAGTAGTGGGAGTGCTGATAACGGACAGGAAAATAAAATTCTCAGTGTTCAAAGAGCTGATGGCATCGCTGTGAAACAGGGAAATGGTGTAGAGATCAAAGAAGTCTGCGATAAGAGGAACTCCCTCCGTCCCGAAAAGGTTCGCCAACTTTGACTTTCACGTAGATTAATAAAGTAAAAACTGTGTGGTTGAAATTTGTGCAAAGGAGAGAGAATTAACTTTAACCATATATTCCTTACTTTAAATGGAAATGACAAATCTTTTTGGGACATCCAAAGGGAGTATATCTTTACCTTTTATTATCCCGTTGATATGAAACGTGTGCTTGATGGTGGTCCATGGCAGTTTGAGAGGAATCTGCTCATTCTGAAAGAAATTAAACCAAATGATATTCCACATAAGATCTGTTTGAATGAGGCTGATTTTTGGGTTCAAGTTCACAATGTCTCATATAGTTTAATATATTTAGGAACTGCACAATGATAAGCCCGTATTTAGACACACATTTGATGCGTGTTTGGATCGGCTTTTGATGGTTTTCCTAGCTTTAAGGTGTTACAGTCTCAATTTTAGATCAAGTTATGTTTACCAGGCGTTGGTTCGAGTTTTGTGTTATTTGGAGTCAAAATTAGGAAATTAGAGTCCGGCATCGGCGATTGAGAAGAAATTGCGACGAGTTGAGAAGCATTCGAGAGTGAATTGAGAGATTTAGAGGTCAACGGGAGGTTCGCGATGAAGAATTGAAGGCTAAAAGAGCTCTAAGATTGGCTATGAGATCAAAAGAAGACGAATAGAGCTTGAAAACGGCGATCAGAAAGACCTTCTGTTAATATTTCAAGCATATATCTCTTTGTAGGAACATCCAAAGGACACGATTCAAATTCCACATGAAATCTAACTTCAAGGGCTACAAATCATATGAAGACACCATTCCGAAAGTCTTAGAGGAGCAAGGTGAAAACAAACGATATAGTCAGATGATCTCTGTTGTGATTTCAGAATGCCACCTTCCACCATGTTATTCATATCTTTTGATTGGATGATTCATATCCAATCTGCAAGTTGTGGTGGATAGAAGACTTCAGTATTTACAACTTTCATGAAGGAAGTTTTGTCAAATTCGGACTAGAGAAACGTTGAAGAACATGCCACGCACGGTCGTGCCTGGCGGGAGGCACGATCGTGCGTGGAGAAGGAATGCGCGAGGTGCTACTGCCAAGAAGGCACGGTCGTGCATGGCCCTTAGGAACGTCGTGCCTGACCGCGTTTTTTTCTCAGTTCAGCCCAAATTCATCTGTTTTCTATAAATAAGGTCTCCCTTCTTCTGTTTAAGGGTTACGAATATTACGGAGAGGCCTAGGGACGAATTACTTGTGTTTTTACGTTGTTTTCTTCAAGAACCCTGTGATTGTTTGTAAGTTCATCTTTTTAATTAATGACAATTAATTCTATTCACCCAATTATGTTGATTCTTCAATTATGAATTGTGAGTAGTTTAATTAGGGATTTGGATTTTATGAAGGGGTTAATCATGATGTATGGCTAGTTTCTTGATGGTTAATTGAATGAATGTTGTTTAATTTGTGTCTGAATAATTTAACTGATATCTTTTATAATCTGGAACCGCAGCTAGAACTACAATTGCTTGTAGAATAAATTAAGAGAGATCTAGTTTATTATAGGACACATTCACACACACTTAATCATTAGCTAAGAGATTAGTAGCGATTAAGGGGCCGTAAGCTCGCTCGTCTTGGCAATAATTTAGGATCCTGTCGCATGAGAGATCAACCGGGTCCCCTAAATTATTGTACTATACGCCGCGAGAGCGGTAAGAACTTAGTAATGATTAGCTAGGTTCAATTAATTCAAATTCATGTAATTAAGCCTGATCTGCCAGAAATCTGGTTACCCCGAAATCAATCCCTATTCCCTTCATCGTTAATTAGAGAAAAATAAATCTTTTTATTTAATCACTCATTCGCATTAGTTTAATTTTCCAAACCAACCAATCTTACACAATTGCATTTTATTTTATTTTCTTTTTAATTGCTGAATTTAGTTAATCTTTAATTTCCTTTTGTCCGTCCCTGTGGAGACGATACTCGTACTTTCAACCACTTTTCTACAACCTTTTTAAGTGCGAGAAAACTTACATCACACGACGAGTGGGCAATTTTATTGGAAAGTTTATTAGTTACGATAATGATCAATTCGGAGAAAATGGGAGTCCTATCTGCGAGTTAGAGTCTGTATGAATGTGGAAAAGCCTTTGAAAAAGGGCATTACTCTTAAAAAAAGAAGGTATTGGGTATTGGGTGGATTTTAAGTATGAGAAATTGCAAAATTTTTGCTTCGTCTGTGGAGTAATAGGCCACTCTGAAAAATTTTCCCGCTAGCGTACGAAGAAGATTTAGTGTTGGAGAAAAGGTTTGGCATATTTCTTAGAGCCCGCAGGTAGCGGGGTGAAGACTAGCCCTACAGGAGGGAGTAAATGGCTGGTGGAGGGGTCCTCAAGCTCGAGTCGGGCCCCGCAAAACAAGGAGGAGAACAAATCAAACGGAAGGATGAAAGGAGGGAAGGAGGAGACGGCGGCTTCAGTCAGCAGCTCGACCAAAGATGTGATTTTGGGAACTACCGAGGAGACAGCAGGAGAACAGAAGCGCAGACGCATCTCGGAGGCAGTGGAAAAAGCAAATCGGGGGGTGATGGTATGGCACTAGATGAGACAAAAAAAACGGGGAGGAGGCGGGCTTAGAGGGGTAAGCTCGCCACCGGAAGCAGTGCAGAGGGTAGCAACAGGGTGATGGAGTTTTATGGTTGCTGGAAGACTGAGTGAAGGCTTTTACTTTGTTGATTTTATTTACTTCAATGGTTTGATGTTGTCAGTTTATGTTTGTTTTCTTTTCTGTTTCGGTTGTAAGATTGTGGATTTGATTTTAGATGTGGGTGATGAACTGACTGCGATTACCGTCTTTGTCTCATTTGTGCCCACAAGTGGATCAACGAGTTATATTACTGAGGTGATAAACTCTGAGTCTGGTTCGAGGGACGGCGGTTTTCAGGAGTCTTTTTGTCGGATTACCTACTTTCTGAATGATGTGTTATCAATTGAAGCCTCTTTCATCCAAAAAAAAAAACTTATACAAAGTACGACAATGTGTTTATAATTTTAAAATTTTATAATTTGGTAACTTAATTATGATAATTTGTGATACAGGGTGACAAGTCTTACTTTTTCTAAACGCTAACGAATTGAAGAAAGTAATAGCCGATAAATGATTATAGTATCTTCATTGTAGTTTACTTAATATCTTCGTTCAAACAAACTTTAATTTTTCATCTTAACTTGTAAAGTTTGAACTATGATATTGATTAGTATAACACTATGAAAGATATAAATTTTATACTCTTTTGAAAAACAAAAAAGAATGTTCTCATATAATTTTTATATTATAATTAATTTTCTATAAAAAAATTTATATTTGATCAAAGTTCTAAAGGTGACAAAGTTCTTTGGGACAGAATTAGTACCTCTTTTCACATATTATGTAGTTCTCATATTTCAACACGATGTAAGTGTTACATTTTGATAAAAGTCCCCCCCCCCAAAAAAAAATTGTTTAGGTTCCGCCCCTAATTAGTCTCTTTTTAATTATATTCTCTATACCTTTTATTTTTCAATAATCTAAATAACCTAAGTAGTGTGCTGCCCGACATACAAAATTACCTAAGCTTACGTGTGCTCGGCATCATATAACTAGTTATTGAGATAAATCCAACACGAAAGAGAATTAAATGTATAAACTATAGAAATAAATGTCGGAACTACCTATTTTAACGTGGAAATCTGAAAAGGTGAAAATCACAGGACTTTTCGGCCTAATGTCCAATGCAAGCCGGTCTCATTTTCATTAGACTCTTCTCACCATTTACAATGTACAAGTATTGAGGTCCCATTAATGGAGTCTTAAGCTTTCTAGAGAGAAGGTGGAGAAGAAGTGGAGGAGGAAGAAGATCCCCAAAATGGGAGGGAAGGCTTCCCATTTATAGAAAATAGGAGAGGGGGTACAATGTTTCCCTAATGTGCCAAAGTGGACCCAAGGGGCCGGAATGAGCTGAATGGGCCAAAATGAGCCTAACTGATCGGCATCCGTACTGGGGTAACGCCTTAGATTCCTGAACAGTAGTAGGTCGAGATAATAAATCCCAACACAAGTCACCCGGTTTCTTGAGTCCTAAGCGTGTGAATTTGCTAGAGAAATTATATACTCTGAGCGTGTGAATTTGCCCAAGGAATTATACTCTCGCTCGCGCTCTTCCTTGAATATGTGTCCTCGAGCAGTCCTATGCGCATGTACAATAAGTGGGATGTGATGCATATCCCTTGCATTGGGCACGGTGGTGCTGAGGGGTCGATCGTTCTGCTTAATATGGTGGTCACCATCCCAGAATAGGGACAGGTGAGCCGACCGAGGACTAGACACGACGACGCTGAGGAGCTGTTCATGGTGCATAAAACGGTGGTCGCCACCCTAGAACAGGGATGGCGAACCCGGCCGAGAAAACGACACAACGGCGCTGATGAGCTGCTCGTGCTGCATAACATGGCGGTTGCCATCCCGGGATAGGGACGACAATATGCTCGAGAAATTATACTCTAGCACAAGTTTTTCTGCGATCTTTCTTAAATATGAATCTCCGTGTAGTCCTGTGTGGATGCATGAATAGGTTAGATAAAAATGTGTATTTCTTACACCGGGCACGATGGCGCTGAAGAGGCCTTCAGCTGCATAAAATGGCGGTCGCCCGGCGGAGAACTAGACGCGACAGTGCTGAGGAGACGCTCATGCTGCATAAAACGGCGGTTGCCATCCCAGAACAGGGATCAAAGAGCACGACCGAGAACTAGAAACGACGGTGCTAATAAAGAGCCGCTCTTGATGCATAAAGTGGAGGTCATCATCCCAGAACAGGGATCGAAGAGCCCGACCGAGAACTAGACACGCTGGCCCTGAGGAGTCGCTCGTGCTGCATAAAACGGTCGAGATGAAAATCCATTCCCTAGCTCCAGGTCGAGTTAAGCCGACCGAGATGAGAACGACTGAACACCTCCAAACCAAACTAGTCAAGATCCCCCTGTCCGGTCTCATTGGACGGCTCGCTCTTACCCATTGATCGAGACGAAAATCCATTCCACAACTCGAGGTCGGGTTAGGTCGACCGAGATGAGAAAGATAGAACACCTCCAAACCGAACCAGTCAAGATCTCCCCATCCGATCTGATTGGACGACGTGCTCTAACCAGTTGATCGAGATGAGATGACCATGTTCTAGTTCCCTGATCACAATGTTTGGCTTATCCAAACGTGCATGCCAAGCGAAGTGAATGTGGCCACCAGACCCACTACCCTTTGGGTGGGGCACCACATGGACTTGCACATTTTATGGAGCCCTCCGTATAGGGACTCAGAAGCCCTAGTGGCCTTACGCCTATGCATACCAGGTATTCCTTATTACTGAGACCAGACGCATCGGCTTGGGATTTTCTTGGATCCCTCGACCCCCTTCTCTTTTTTAGGGCACCTCGACCCTTTTTTAGGACACTTTGATCATACAAAGATGATTCAGAATGATGACCACAACGTGCCGAGAGACCGGTCATCATATAGGGACGTCAGCGCTGTGGGGCCGATCGAAGATCCGAGCAACGGTCCTTATCCATGAGCTGTGAGGATGGGATCGGTCTTCAAAGGGATCACCACGCTGAGCCAAGGGGCCGGTCGTGATATGGGAAAACCAACACTATGGAGCCGGTCCGGAGATCCAAGCAGCGATCCTCATCCATGTGGTGTGAGGATGGGACCGGTCTTCAAAGTTATCACCGCGTCGAGCTGAGGGGTCGGTCGTTAAAGCGATCACCCCGCCGTGCCGATGGTCCAGTCATGATATAGGAACATCGGCGCTATGGAGCTGGTCCTGAAATCCAAGCAGCGGTCCTCATCAATGAGGTGTGGGGTTGGGCCCGGTCTGTAAAGGGATCACCACTCCGAGGTAACCGATTCTTATACATTGTTGCTTGAACACTATTGTGATCGGTACGTAGGTGGAGGCCGAGCGGCGATTGATGATCCACATCTCTGGTTGTCCGGTGGATTTAATCAACTGTTAGCTGGGAGACGTTGCAGTTGTGAACTGTGGTCTGATTTCCAGGTCTTGTGGATATATAAAGAACGTACGTCCAAGTTATACAAACCTAGTATCCCGTAGTTGTCCCAGTTATTGTCTCAAGGTTTTGGAAATGTCCGAGGAGGCTGGCATTGGTACTACAGAATCATAAGGGCCGAGGATGCACCAAATCATTCGGATGGGAAGTTGTTCATTGAGTGTCTTCCTCAACGGATCCCCAGTAGGCCGGTTCACAGCTCCCAGCGGCCTCTAATGCTGTTGTTCAGGCGTTGGTCTAGAGTGGGCCTGGGTTGCTCCTGCTGATGTCGCAAACGTCGGTGAATTGGGAGCTTCACAGTAAGCTTCAGATGGTGTACGGCTACCGGTCTGCCGGATCGGAGTTCAGATCCCCCAATTCCGACTTCAGATTCTCCTTTTTCTCGTTTTCTAGTTGAAAATCAGTCCATTTGTATCAATTTTTTTGGAAGTAAGAACACATTGAAACCTTTTGAACAAGTTTCCCATAGAAGGTGTCAGTGTTGAGATAAATCCAACACGAAACAATAATAAATATATAAATTGTATAAATAAATGTATGGACAGCCTATTTTAACGTGAAAATCTGAAAGGTGGAAAACCACGAGACATTTCAGGCTAATATCCAAATTGCTGTCATTTTCATTAGACTCTTCTCACTAATTATGATGTGCAAGTATTGAGCTCCCATTAATGGAGGGCTTAAACTTTCTAGAGAGAAGGTGAAAAAGAAGAAGTGGAAGAAGAAAAAGAAGATCTCCAAAATGGGAGGGAAAGCTTCCTATTTTTATAGATAATAGGAGAGAGGATAGAAGTAAAACTCCTCCGCAAATAAGCTATTATTTTAATATGAAAATGTACATTTTTATATTAAAGTAAAACTTTACAATGTTCCTGTAAATTAGAGATATCTTTACTTTATGTCATGTATAGCAAATAGTAATAAAAACTAATTAAGGGTATATGTGGCATTTAATTATTAAAATGTTTCCTTTTATGAAAGCATGAACTTTTTGTGTGGCATCTAATCTAAATAACAAAAGTGAGTCAATGTATTATTGACTTTGTAGTCAACTTTGTCTTTTTGGTCATCTCAAAGAACATTGTCATTTTCATTTAAAATAATAAGTACTACTCCATAGTTACAATTACTTTTCTAACTCAAACTATAATAGATTACCTGTGCAATCATCCATGTGCTGTAACATAGACAACTAAGGATAAGAAATAAAGTACCACGTCCCCAATGCTCTTTCCCTTCAGAAGAAACAAGTTGATCATTGGCACTAGAATTGGAATGGTAAATTGTTTTGCCTTTGTATACGATAATGGTTACTGCTCCAGCGAGGCAAAGAATAGCTCCTAAGACCTTTATTTTTCCATCTTTATTCTTCAATTTCAGCTTCTCTTGGCTAGAATGTCGAACATAAACCGTGTCATTTCTTGCATAGTTTCTAAATCTTGTAAATGGATACCACAACAAAGAATATATACTCCCCCCTCCGTCTGCATAGTTTCTAAATCTTGTAAATGGATACCACAACAAAGAATATATACTCCCCCCTCCGTCGCTATTCCTATTTCAGTTGTCCCAACATGATTTTCCATTTTCTATTTTAGATTGGAATGATGAATAAAGTGTCAAAGTTACCATTACTTTTACCCATTTTCCATTTACTCAAAGGGGGACCGAGAAAGTTACAATGGAGTGGACTGAGTAGGGGTGGGTTGGCGAAACCGAAAACTGTAAACCGAATCGACAAAACCTGAACCACAAGAAAAACAAATTGATCCGCAAGAAAAACCGAACTCAAAAAACCGAACCGAACCCTAGTTGTTTGGTTTCGGTTTTGTTTTTCACCTTTGAAAACCGAACCGGAACAAAGAAACATGATATTTTATTTATTAATCATTAGGTATGATTCTTTGTTTAGTTCTTAGTTAGGTTCTTAATTCTAGAAAGTTAATGTTGATATTAGATTTACTATGATTTGCAAGATATTGACATTTGATATTTATGGTTTAATTAAGTGAAACACTTGTACATACACTTTAGATGATATAATACTAATATGTTTAACGGCAGAAAAATAAAATTTGAAGCCACATATAAAACAATATGTTGATTTCCATTCTAAAACATAAAACGGTTTAAACTATTTCCAAGTTTAACTAATACATCATAATGTATATATCATGCAGGAAAAAAACTAATATATCATATTGTCATAACTAATAAGTAATAACTATATTTTACATTAAACATCTCAACCTAATTCCCAATTTTAAAATTGAACTTAAATTTTTAATTCATTCTTACATTCGCAATGAATATATAAATCATTCTTTCATCTTCAATTGTATATGAAATTGTGATGCATATTCAGATTAAAATGACTACGTACGTTCAAATATCATTAATCTTTATAATGAATATAAACACCATTTTTATTACAAATTCAAATTTTCAACTAATAATCAAATTTTGAAATCAAATAGGATAGGTTATTAATGATAATTTCGAAACAATTAAATTTAGGTAATCAATGATGGGCCTTGACTAGAAAAGGCATATAATGTAAGTATATCAATATCATCATGGATATGTATTATGAGGCTTGTACTACAAGTGTCCGCACCTACTAGCTAGTGTAGGGAGAACTACGGAGTTTCCTATTACTATCGGAGCACACCGAGCATCGGCTCTGAGTCTTTTCTTATTTGCTATAGTCATGGATGAACTTACAAAGTCAATTCAAGAAGATATATTGTGGTACATGATGTTTGCCGATGATATTGTGTTGATTGATGAGACACGATCAAGTGTAAAAGATAAGTTGGAAGTATGGTGACAAACTATGGAGATCAAGACTGAGTATATGGAGTTCGGGTTTAGTGGACTTAGAAGTAGTAATAACAGTGGAATTACTCTTGATGGCAAGAAGATACCAGTCTTTGATATAATCTGTTACTTGCCCATCTACCCAAATGTTCTCTGGGAGGCTTCGTTGGTGAGTTGGGGGTCGCTGGTTGGGGTGGCGATGTCCCTTGTAGCTGGCTGTGAACCAGCCATCTTCCAACTCCCTGAATTGTTGTCTGAGGGAAGGGTCCGGATGGTAAGGTCATACCTGGTGTTTTACGTGAGCTTCACATCGCCATTCTGGTTGTTTTGGCCCTGATTTGAGTTCATTTGTTGATATTTGTTCAATCGGGATATAATTGCTCCTGAGAAATCTTCCCTCCTATGGATAACGAGATGAGGGGCTGAAGGAGTGTTGTGTGTAGTACATGAGATGATTGACGAAGCCTGTAGAGTCTCTGGACATTAACTCTCCATTGCTTGTGCAATTGTTTTTGAAGAGCCTGGATTGAGGGTGTGTATAATGGTGGTAGTGAATGTCCCTTCTCCTTTCACTGAAACGAGGAGAGTGCCCTCGCGTGTAGCACTGGTTTTCATTGAGTAGGGGCTGGTGATTTCGGCTGCGTTCGGGGCGCCGGAACTCCATAAACGAGTTCAAGAGTTTGCTTGTTTTTTAGAGAGATGGAGGAGATTCTCTCTCTTCATCTTTCCCGCAAGGATGGAAGATTTGTATGTTTTAATTGATCGACTTCTGTTATTATTATTATATTCGTCATTTCGTCATAATCAGGAATGATCGAACATTTGAAATTTCGGCTATTATGCTTTCGATGTACGTTATAGTTCGTATAATATTATTACACACACATATATATGCCAAACAATACGTACCCAGAAATTGTTGACAAGAAAAATGTAATTATTGGAATGATGGTGACAAAGTTCGCAGCATACGTCACTGTGGTATCTCGAAGACCATAATAAAACAATCCCAAAGCCACACTTATCCTGCAAATTAAAGCAAGTTAGTAACCATACTACATATCACAATTTTCGAGTTTGCAAGTATATTTATTTTTTTCTAATTGGGGAGAATATTTATATATGATGAAAATTCATGACAATTCTAAAAATTTAACCAGGCATGATAATTTCTCAAAATATGACTGAACACATATGGAACTAAGTAAGATCAAGAAAACATCGGATGATGCCACCAAATTTGGAAAAAAGATATTCCTGGTGTCTCTCAAACATCTTCAATGCTACAATGTGTACGATACACATGTGACATGCGAGATAGGCATATAAATATTAGAAAATAAAGTATCTCTCTCCTTATTTGAATATTTTTATACAATTTTGATAAGTTTTTCTCCACAATGTCAAGAAGACCATGTAAATGTTGACATTGTGATTGACATTACAGAGAAAAACTTATCAAATTTATTCGCTGATATTTATGTTGTTATCTTCCATGTCACATGTGCATCGTGCACATTGCAGTATTGGAGATGATCTAAACTTTGACCAATGATATACTTTTTAGGAAATTATTTATAACATAAACTGATATGAAAATATTCTTTATTTAAAATACTTTCTCCATATTTTGTAATTTGTTACCATAGCAATGGTGATGTGGTGAAATTCTAGTATTGGCAATATAGCGAACTTTTAATAAAACCAAAGCAATAAAGTACATTATCTTATATTATACTAAAAGGAGATATGATAGAAGTAAGGGCGAACAATTCGGTGTACGGTTAGCGGTTAGGTTTTCATTAGTTTCGGTTCAATTTCAGTTTATTCAGTTTTCATAAAATCATTTATGTTTCGATTTGGTTTTAGTTCGGTTTCGTTTGAACTTCCGGTTACCAAAGTGAAAACTATTAGGTTCAATTTAATTCGATTTCGATCATATGTTTATTCTTTTATTTGATCAAGTTTCATATTTTGGAAATAGAAAATGTAAATAGTAGTCAATCACATCTTCTTTCATTTTTTATTTAAATGAAATGTGAAGGAAAATAAAAGATAAACAAAGAAATAACAAAATATTATAAAGTAAAACCTAATTTATCTTACTAAGACTAACATTTTTCAACCACTAGAAAAACGATTTATCTCTCACTAAAGGTGAGTTTAATTTATAGTTGATTAACATTTATAATATCACATAAAAATTCAAACAAAACTAAATGAGTCGGCGTTAAACAAATAATGTATTTAAATTCATAATAATTTTTTTCCATATGAATTGTGTAAAATGTATATTGTGCTATAGTTTAATTGAAATTGTCATAAATGTAATGTGCTATTGTCATCGTCAAACAACTTTACACACAGGTAGAGTACAAAATGAAATAAATACAAATATGTCTAATTATCTAACTTCGTCATAATGAATGTATGAAATGTGTATATTGAAACATGTATTTTTTTATATCTAACTTATTTATTTACAGAGTATATCCTAAAGTTGAAGAGTGAAAACAAATACAATGTATTTTTACAAGTATTACATGTTCAGTTTGATTTAGGGTTTTTGGTTTAAAACCAAACCAAACTATTCGGTTTGAGCAAATTATTATTAAACGGGTTTACTTAAGTAGTGAAACAAACCAAATAAAAGTATGAATTGTTGGTTTGGTTCGATTTGATTCAGTTAAACCAAATCGTTTGCCCAACCCTAGACAGAAGTATACCTGCCAATATGTTTTGAATAAATTTCCATGACTTATAATGTGAGAAACAATCCTTCACTATTAATAATTTGGTATAGTACTTCTACTCTTTGCATCTTTGAATTTTTCTAATAAATTGGTAGGGTGTTCCCTGACTCCTATCCCGAAGGACTTCATGATCTTATGGCTCCTCACCGGGTATAAAAAAAATAATAATAAATAAAAATAAAAACAACGCATGGTGACAATCTTGTAGATGCACACCCCACGCTCCTATTGGTTAACTAGGGTAGTTAGTAATATATTCTGTATTTTTAATATCTGGTTTCGTATTAATAACTAAATTTTGCTTATTTAGAAAACTCAAAGCTTACTCAAGCTCCAAAATTGAGTTAGGATGTTTTTACTTGGACTGTAATTTGCCCCAGACCAGACCAGACCAGACCAGTTCAGACCAGACCAGACCAGACCAGACTTGGATAGTTATAAAAATACAAAGAAACCAGACCTTACCAGACCAGACCAGACCAGTTCAGACCAGACCAGACCAGATCAGACCAGACCAGACCAGACCAGACCAGCAAATTACAGTCCAAGTAAAAACATCCTTAAAGTATTATTAAATTTTTGAGACAAGTTTAAATAATTCTACTTCAGTCCAACTAACATTGAGACATGAGAATATAATACGATCATAAAGAAAGATAAGATAATCTTAGTGGTACTGTCAAAGTAATAAAAAATGAATCATGCTGGTCAAATAAAAACAGAATGGGGGTGTTTGGCAATCGGTTGTTGGTTTTTTGGCTGAATATGTTGGTTGATTAGTGACAGCAGATTCTGTAGGCTGTTTTGTTTAGCTGATAATGTTAGTTGTTTATAAAATAGT